TATTTTTTGTTGTTGTTGTTGTTACTTTTGTTGATTTTAAAAATAGTCTAAATTAAGCTTAGAGATCGTTTACATAGATCAATTTTTGTTCAATCACTTCTTTTTTTTTGCACTAAAAAAACAACTAACAAAACTAAGGGCTGTTATAGGCTCTATAATAGTCTGTTTTTTTTTGTACATATGAGTAAAAAGAAGCAATTAATGAGAATAAGTGGCGTGAATAATCTTCTGATGCCTGACAACTGCCTTCTTCAAGTTCTCTTGACCATTTTCTATTTTAGCCTTTTGCTGATGAAATTTATCAAAAAATTAATCCGTCAGTACCCTTTTAAGCATTTGATACTGCAGTAAAAGTCAGCAGTCAAAATATGGTGGCTTAAGGCTTCTGCAAAAACAAATATCTGTTTTTTTTTTTACTCTAATGATAATAAGGTTCTTCAACAACACCAGCAAAAAAAAGAAGAGAAGAAGAAAGCAAAAAGAAAAAAAAAAACTGAAGAAAGAAAATACAAAATTAACACACCTAAAATCAATTTTATTTTCCAGAATTTGGTGAACGATTTCTGTTGCCACAAGATTTTGTTCTTGCAGCAATAACACCGGGTAAGACTAAGTTTTTTTTTTTTCTAACACCATAATTTTTACTGCTCAATATACTTTTATGTCATTTTATTAGATCAAAAAAATTGACAACAAAAAAAAAATGTTGTCTACAATTTTTTTTTAGTTTTATTCTTTCCATACATATTATACCATACGCAAATAACTGTATTAGACCACTTGAAAATTTTCAATGTTGGTATACAGCTCCTACAAAAATTCTGATTTAATTCTACAAAAATTTTTATTTAATCATTCTTATTCTTAATAAGAAAAGCCAAAAAAAAAGGAAGACAGACTAATGGAAAAGCATATTGTTTTGCAGTAAAACAGCCAACTGCAGAAGAGATTGATGCAATGCAAAATATTCACCTATTTGAGGGTGACATTGAAGGAATTGCTGGTAATGAACAGTCCGTGTTTCATGATCCGATAACTAACGACGGTTCCTATGCGCATGTTTTTTCTCTACCGGTATCAATTTTTTCCTAAATACAATCTATTCATGTTACATCTTTTTTTTTTCCTATTGCTGTTGGCTTTTTTCTGTCATGTTTTTTTCTAGAAATTAATCGCAGTTAAACAACTTATTGCAGATAATAAATGTTTCAAATTGTAAATTTCTGAAGATTCTTGTTGTTGTTTTTTTTTTTTTT